ACCCCGCAGGATGGACATCTGCGGTGGGGAGGGTTTAAAGTTGAACCTAATTTAACCATTACAAAAATAAATTTGACAAGTAATTGATGTCAAACTTCACGTTTCAATTAGTGTAGGGTTTTGAAATTATCCAAAAAAGTACCCAAAGGCCAAAACCGAATCAGAGCACCCCACTATCCACGTGGTCTTGATGTGGCTCAGATTTTTTATATCCCTAGAGTGTATATAAAATCTGAGGCGCGGAGGAACTAGGAAGAGCAGCCCCCACCCGCTGTAACAAAGCACAGGCATTATGCAAGCCGTAGCGGCTTAAAGGCTAAAAAGCCGGATCTGCGGAGGCTTGAATAAAATATCTGTGCTTTGGTACGCAAGGGGATGCATTTCCTGTAGCGCCGGAGCTGTCCAAAAAATCTATTATTATTATCGTTCGGTTAGGTTAGGTTAGTATCTTAATTTTTTTTTAATAACTGTTCAACTGAAACTGATCAACTATGATTGATTTCCAATTATTTTTAATATTAAAATCGAATACAAAAATCGATATTCACTTTTAAAAAAATCGATTATTTTTCATCCCATCCCTATTAATTTTATAAACGCAAACGGCCATTTCGAATGTGGATTTTGCCAGAACAGTGTGTGAGCAGCGTTAAAGTGTAGAATATCTTACGTTACTTTTTACGTTTTTTTATTTTTACGTGAATGTGCGTTATTTTATTTGCATTTATTTTGGACTGATTGAATTGCTTTTCTGTACGACTTTGGCATACATACTAGACACTGATCTAGATTTAGAATAGATTACAATTATATTTACTACATGTTAACTGTTACATTATTATTTATCTACATGTAAACTAGATCTCGGTTAAGTTAGGTCCGCATTTATGACAACATTGATTCAGTTAACCTCAACTGATGTGTTACTAGTCTGTTTTACCCCTAGAGTGTTATTTTAAAACCTATTATTATCACAATTAAAAAAACTATTTAACTCATTTAGCTTATTAACTAATTCTTTAATTGTTGTAGGACGACATATTGAGGGTCCTTGGTATGATAGAAGACCAATCAGAAGATCTGAGATTGGATGTGTGCTCAGACAATATTCGGTCAGCGGAAGTATTACTTCCTCTAATACAAGAACATGTAGAAGTTGGCACTACCATCCACACCGACTTCTGGCGAGCATATGATTAATTGTCTGAGCTTAACCCCTTTGTGGCTGAAGATGGGACTCATACACAAAGAATTGAGTGTCAGTGGAGGGCAGAAACAGATTTTTTAAAAAAGACAATTACAATAAGGCCCTTTTTCCACTGCTCCGGTCCGGCGTCGGAAGCGGGATTGAGTAATTAAAAAAATATCGGAAGGCCGGATTGCGCTTCTCCACTATATCCGATCCGACAATAATCAATCAGTAAAAATAAGTCACTCAGTCGCAACGGACGTAACGATTCACAATGAGTCGTGCCTTTAATCGCCAACAACTTTTTACATCCTCTGTTGAGGAACAGGTGCCTAGCTGGAACATTTTATGTTTCTCATGAAATGCTAGTTCAAGGTGAAAGAAAATTTTACGTTTATTATAGAATGACACCTGCTACGTCCAATTACATTTTAGATCACATAATAGAAGCGATTGCTGGCCACAGGACACTAACTTTAGATGTTGCATTCCTCCTGCGGAGATGCTCTCAGTGACTTTGAGGTAAGTACATAATTATGTAGATAAACAAAACAAAATCATATGAAAAAATAGGAAATATTGATGTCTTCCAAGCTTTTATTATGTAAAAAATCGTAATACAGAATGAAAACTAATATTAACTATATTCTAAAAATCTAAATACGTTTATTCAGTTTTATAGATGCGTCTTAAGGCATATTTTATTTTATTTATTTTGTACAATCCAGTGATCTGGCGCTGATCATAGATGCCGCGGAGGAATCCGATAACCTTCCAGCATCAGACGTAGGCGCGTCAACTGGATGGTCGCCAAAAATGTCCCTGGAAACGCTCGGCACCGGCGTAATACATAGAGTGCGCTCAGGCACCACGGTCACTTCTTGTAATTCTCTCAGATCCGGGTTTATTGGTTGGTCCGTGGATATCATTCTACTATCGCATGTGTTATTTCTAATGATTTTCTCCTCGCTCGCCTCGGCAAAAGCGCCGGAATCATGAAGATTGTCCCCCCAGAGTACGGTGGGACTTTTTGCACCGGCTCTTGCGAGCAGGTGGCGGGATTTGACCCGCCTGGGGTAGTTTTACAAGTATTTGTCTTCATTTTCGCTTTAATTTTTATCCAGGTAAGACAGCTCACCCTGGGACGCCCTCGGGACCGAACTCCCCCGGCCACTCACCCCATCGCCGGGCGCCAGAAACTTGAGGTTAGGGGCTCGCCGTCAATTCGACGAGCCTCGCCAGCCTTAAAGGCCAGCCATACCACGCGCATGAAGCGCCGCTGGGGCTAGATAGAATGGCCCCCTCTGTATCCGATTCGCTTCACCAAGGTGCTGGCTTGCACCCCCAGTTACTAAGCCCTCCCCGGCCACGTCAAGGCTCGGACCCCGCAGGATGGACATCTGCGGTGGGGAGGGTTTAAAGTTGAACCTAATTCAACCATTACAAAATAAATTTGACAAGTAATTGATGTCAAACTTCACGTTTCAATTAGTGTAGGGTTTTGAAATTATCCAAAAAGTACCCAAAGGCCAAAACCGAATCAGAGCACCCCACTATCCACGTGGTCTTGATGTGGCTCAGATTTTTTATATCCCTAGAGTGTATATAAAATCTGAGGCGCGGAGGAACTAGGAAGAGCAGCCCCCACCCGCTGTAACAAAGCACAGGCATTATGCAAGCCGTAGCGGCTTAAAGGCTAAAAAGCCGGATCTGCGGAGGCTTGAATAAAATGTCTGTGCTTTGGTACGCAAGGGGATGCATTTCCTGTAGCGCCGGAGCTGTCCAAAAAATCTATTATTATTATTGTTCGGTTAGGTTAGGTTAGTATCTTAATTTTTTTTTAATAACTGTTCAACTGAAACTGATCAACTATGATTGATTTTCAATTATTTTTAATATTAAAATCGAATACAAAAATCGATATTCACTTTTAAAAAAATCGATTATTTTTCACATCCCTATTAATTTTATAAACGCAAACGGCCATTTCGAATGTGGATTTTGCCAGAACAGTGTGTGAGCAGCGTTAAAGTGTAGAATATCTTACGTTACTTTTTACGTTTTTTTTATTTTTACGTGAATGTGCGTTATTTTATTTGCATTTATTTTGGACTGATTGAATTGCTTTTCTGTACGACTTTGGCATACATACTAGACACTGATCTAGATTTAGAATAGATTACAATTATTTTTACTACATGTTAACTGTTACATTATTATTTATCTACATGTAAACTAGATCTCGGTTAAGTTAGGTCCGCATTTATGACAACATTGATTCAGTTAACCTCAACTGATGTGTTACTAGTCTGTTTTACCCCTAGAGTGTTATTTTAAAACCTATTATTATCATAATTAAAAAAACTATTTAACTCATTTAGCTTATTAACTAATTCTTTAATTGTTGTAGGACGACATATTGAGGGTCCTTGGTATGATAGAAGACCAATCAGAAGATCTGAGATTGGATGTGTGCTCAGACAATATTCGGTCAGCGGAAGTATTACTTCCTCTAATACAAGAACATGTAGAAGTTGGCACTACCATCCACACCGACTTCTGGCGAGCATATGATTAATTGTCTGAGCTGTCAGCTGACAACCCCTTTGTGGCTGAAGATGGGACTCATACACAAAGAATTGAGTGTCAGTGGAGGGCAGAAACAGATTTTTTAAAAAAGACAATTACAATAAGGCCCTTTTTCCACTGCTCCGGTCCGGCGTCGGAAGCTGGAATGAGTAATTAAAAAAATATCGGAAGGCCGGATTGCGCTTCTCCACTATATCCGATCCGACAATAATCAATCAGTAAAAATAAGTCACTCAGTCGCAACGGACGTAACGATTCACAATGAGTCGTGCCTTTAATCGCCAACAACTTTTACATCCTCTGTTGAGGAACAGGTGCCTAGCTGGAACATTTTATGTTTCTCATGAAATGCTAGTTCAAGGTGAAAGAAAATTTTACGTTTATTATAGAATGACACCTGCTACGTCCAATTACATTTTAGATCACATAATAGAAGCGATTGCTGGCCACAGGACACTAACTTTAGATGTTGCATTCCTCCTGCGGAGATGCTCTCAGTGACTTTGAGGTAAGTACATAATTATGTAGATAAACAAAACAAAATCATATGAAAAAATAGGAAATATTGATGTCTTCCAAGCTTTTATTATGTAAAAAATCGTAATACAGAATGAAAACTAATATTAACTATATTCTAAAAATCTAAATACGTTTATTCAGTTTTATAGATGCGTCTTAGGGCATTATGTATGTCAAAAACGTTTACAAAATTCACGAAAGAGCCAGACTACGCCATCCGTTCGCTTACGAGGAGGCCTTGTTCTGAGAGGAACGGGCAAGAAACTCAGCAAGTTTTACCCTCTACATTACAATTATTCAAAGGAAAATGTCATAAACCACGTCGTTAAAGTTACATAAGTAAAAGATAACAAAATAAATTATAAATGACAAGCACTTAAAGGCAAACATAACATACATGTAGAGATCATACAAATATCAAACCAATTATTAAACAAAACAAACATTACAAAAAAAACAATTACTAATCAGTAGTCTTCTAGGTAGTCATGTAGTAACCTTTACACATTAATGTTTTTATTTATCTTACATTATAGGAACCATTATCAATCAGTCTTTTTTAATTAAAAATTAACATTATCAATCACAGTGTTTTATAATTAAAAATTAAATTATTAATCAGTCTTTTTTAATTAAAAATTAACATTATCAATCACAGTGTTTTATAATTAAAAATAAATAATTTACTTATTATAAATAATACTTATATGTTTTCAAAATCAGTTTCTGATTCTTCCACAATATTAATACAGACAGCAGAAGTACTAGCTTGAGGATTCTCATATTCAACTATCAATGTGGTGCCCATATCTGTAGGAGTAGAATGTTGTACCATACGCAGGCGATTAGTGTAGTTCCTTAATAACTGCATCACATGTATTCTAAATTCTATTTTATCATCTTCTGATAATCTTTTTATAGATGGTAATACGGAGACTAAGAAAGCTTCATCTTCGTCCGATGGAATTAGCCTTTTTGTCTCAGGCGAGTTGCTCTTCTGCACTTCATTTGTATTCTGCAAAATCTTTAAAATCTCAACATCAACAGGATTCATGCGTTTTTTTCGTTGTCCTGGGTGGTAATGTGTTGACAATGTATCTTTGTCCACCGTTGACATTGAGTCTTGAGTATAATCAGATATACTGGAAACAGTCTCATCAGGCGTAAATACCTTTAATAAAAATTGTAGTTGGTTATGATAGACATAATTTTTCTTTAGTGACTGGCCAGATTTTTTGCTTAATGATTTTTTAAAGGCATCCCGTATGTTATTCCATTTGTTGATGATACTGATACCCGAAACAAATGAATTGAATATTAAGAAACCTACATGTACCTTTTGTTACAGATATATGGCAAGTGGAAATAGCTTCACAGATTTATTTTACACCTACAAAATGGGCATTGCTACTATCAGCAACATTGTTGATACAGTATGCTTTGCCATATGGGAGAAGTTTGGCTAATATGAGTTAACAGTACCGACAAAAAAAAAAAACAAAACAAAACAAAACAATCGCTGAAAAATTGAAAACAATCGCTAAAGATTTTGCAGGAAGAGCTCATTTTCCACACTGTTTAGGTGCTGTGGATGGAAAACGTATACGGCTTGAAAATTTTCCAAACTCTGGTTCAATGAATTTAAATTATAAGGGGTATTTCTCCATTGTACTTATGGCGGTGGTAGATTCAAATTATAAATTCATTTTTGTTGACATTGGTTCTTATGGGAACGATTGTGATTCTGCTATTTTCCAACGCACGCAGACAACACACACATACAAATTCCTTTCTGAGGGTAGACTACAAATTCCAACACCATTTTTGCATCCAAATCAAAGTGTGAGAACACCCTATGTTCTAGTTGGAGATGAAGCTTTTCAGCTTACTCACAATCTATTGAGGCCCTACAGTGGAAATCAGCTTACCATACAACAGCGTATATTCAATTATAGATTAATCCGAGCACGACGATACGTTGAATGTGCTTTTGGTATATTGGCAAACAAATGGAGAATCTTTTACCGCCCTTTTAATGTTTCCAAAAAACTATGAAAAATTATAGTAAAAGCATGTGTAGTTTTACACAATCTTGTTCGTGACCGAGATGGATACAGGTCTGCAGATGGATATGTGGCTAATGAAACGGCTTTTGTGGACCTTCCTGATTCTAATGTTGTTCAAGGAGGACGGACAGCAAATGATATCAGGAACAACTTCGCTGAGTATTTTACAAGTCCTGAGGGATCCTTGCCGTGGCAAATGTTTAAAATATAAAACTAATCCGTGTATTTCTCTGAATTCTTAAATAAATTGGTGTGAACTTACATATTTCTGTTTTTTTTCTCTCGACTGTATCAAAATTTGGTTCCAATATCTTACAAACTTCGTACCAAGAGTTTCTTATTAATATTTTGTTCTTATAATCCTCTATTGTTTTATCCCAGAGGCATGGGACGTTTTCCACACATTCTATTAATGTAAATAAATCGTATGTAAACATTTTTTTTATGACACCTCGAAACAAACGTACACAATACCCAGGTACTTGGATGCGCGGTGCCAGGGTTGCCAACTCCTACAAAATGTTTCCCCTAGGAACAAATTAAAAATACGTTGAAGTAGTAAAAAATAGCTGTTGTATTTATGTGAGTACATATTACATAGTTATATAATATGTTAATCATTGGCCGAATAATATTAATGATAATAACAAAGAGATGAAACAATTATTCTCCGGCATCCGGTTTTTAACGATCCGATAACTTGCTAGATCGGAACGCGGTGTTTTATCGGCACGGTATCAAGTATATCCAAGTATCCAAGAGGCTATAAATTATTATTCACAGGTTTATTTATAGTTTCTTTAATTTGAATCTGGATAACCTGGACTAAACCAAATTATGTTGCTATTTATTTATATTTTTATACCATAGTATTAGTGAACTATTTATTAAGTAGATTATAATATTTTAAGATAGACAATATAAAAAAAGTAATAAACTTGCCAGGGCAATAAAATATTCAGAATTTAGAACGTTTTATTAATAAAATAAAGTAGGTTTTAGTTAATGTAAGTGTTGCATGATAAATATACAAGTATTCATTATTGTCGGATCGGATATAGTGGAGAAGCGCAATCGGGCCTTCCGATATTTTTCTCATGACTCATTCCGGTATCCGACGCCGGACCGGAGCAGTGGAAAAAGGGCCTAGCACTGAAAATTTTTCTGATCATATGTACGAATATTTGTGGCGAAACAATATTAAATACAAAAAAGACCCCTTTTCACGACCTTGACCCCCCACACTCCCCGCGTCATTCACACTTGCCCAGGCGTAGGGGCCCGTAAGTGGGTTTCCCCAGGTAAAAAAAACAAAAATTAAAATACAAAAAAGGGTAAGGGTAGGTTAGGTTTGGTAATATTTTTTTGTTTTTTTTATTTAAATAATTGTTTCCGGTGCGCAAAATTTGTGGGGGGTGATTACTACACCCCTCACTCCCCGCAACCCCCAATTCGGGCGTCCGATTTCTAAATCGTTACCAAAATCTGTCAAGTACTGTAATACGTTTTTTATATTATAAAGAGAAAACATTTGTATATTTAACATTATAAGAATCAAATCTCTATATCATTGTGGGCTTAAAATGTATAAAATAATATAGAAGCAGTCAGTTTGTAATTATTTATTTGCATTAAATACATTATTGATGTAAAAATTTCAAAATGTATCACAATATCAGTATATCTCTTAGTTTATTCGAGGAAGAGCTAATGTTTTTTTCTTATAGTAATATATATTTATTTTTAATACCTTACCTACCAATCCATAACCCAGGCCAGGACAACATTGACCCATACAACAAAAGCACTTCCTCAAAAATAATAAATAAAACTTAAATAACTTAACATAATTGAAGGTACATATAAATTTCAATAGGTTGTATATAATATAAAAATAATATATTTAGATAAAATGTATAAAACCAGTCTTATAGTTTTAATAATAATTAATCTAAATTAACATACCATAGATTGTGTTTTGTCTTTAATTGTGACAAGGACAAAAGATTTAATAGTATTTTATTTATGAATCATAAAAATAGAGCTCTATAAATAGCCTTTGCATTGAGAAAAAATTATGCTATTTATAACCTTTTCTCTACTATCCTATCAAAAAACGTACGTTCCTTTTAGTTAATACGATTTCATAACGTACCAGTACCACATCAATCCTGTAAATTCCCTGCTTAATATTTCACATTCTATGTTTTTTGCAGATTCCTTAAAAAATAATCTTGAACGGATTTTCTATATTATTTGAATCCGCTAAACAATATTTATTAAAATTATACAAAGATTTCTTTTCTTCATCGTATGAAAATCGACTCACACGCTGACTAAATACCATGTAAGTAGAATATAAAAATAGTGATTTGCGATTATTAATAAAAGTCACTAGATTTTCGATGTGTCGATTAAATTATTGTAACGGCTAATCTCGTTTTGAATTAAATATTTAAAAAGCTTTTTTTGTAAATCGAGTGTTAACTCTACGAATTGACGTTTATAGTTTTTAAACATATTTCAAACGTCAAAACGGTCTTGGATATGGCCAATTATTGCTAGAAGATGAATGGTGATCCATGTAAGGACTATCAGTTAGCAGCAATTTACTTCCACTTAATCCAGAACTCGAACTCTGACTAGAAGAGAAGACACTCTTACTGCCAGTATAGAAAGAAAGAGATGTATGGGCCTGTTCTCGGCTGGTTCGCCGTCTCGCTCGCACTAATGAAGCAAATGCGACCGCAATAGCACAGAGGAAAATAACACCTAAGACGCAAAATGCAAGAGCCATTTTACCGGGTGACAAACAAATTGTTTTGTCTCCCGGTGAGAACCCTCGCACAAATTCTTCTTTTCCCTCCGATCTTCTTGAACCTGAAATAAATATACTTTATTTGATTCTGTATATAAGGATTTTTTAAATAGAATACTTAAATACAATTTCTAACTGTTGCAACATGTATTAAAAAAAATTCGCTATGGCTATCATTTAACCATCTTCCCAGAAGTAGAACACTGCTGTGTAATGCTTTCAAGGGGAAGGAGATTTAATTTTTAAAGGCAAAGTGCTTTTTAGTTTGAGTGAGTATTTAGAGTTTAGACCATAAGTTTTGACAACAATTATAAAGAACTTAACTAATTATTATGACATTATGATAATTAATATGACATTTGCATGCCTATTTTTATATGGCTGATTGTGCGTTATTTTATAATTTCTCTGCAAATAAACGATTTACCATTGTTATTTAATATATTTTATTAACATTGTTGACTGTTGTCAAAATATACTATAAAAACGGTCATAAATTCAAGGGATATTTTCCAGGCACCGTGTACTACGTATAATAAACATTATTTATGAGAAAAGGGTTGTCACAAAATTCATATTATATCGTTAGTCCCCACACTAGGGAGTCCCTGTGTTGTGGGTAACTAGATGACAATTAATAAAACACTATTTTGACCGGATTGAAGTTATGTATTATTATAAATTTACAACTATTTAACATAATTTTAAATTTATCCGACGTTTCGCGTGCTTTACAGCGTGCGTGGTTTATAATAATACATAACTTCAATCCGGTCAAAATAGTGTTTTATTAAATGAATAAAAGTTATGTTAATCAAAGACAATACTAGATGACAATTATTCCGTTGTACGTAGTAAGACTTAACTATCTCAGAAACTATATAACCTGTCTTCTTTATTTCATAAAAAGTAATTACCTCTTATTGATGCCTCATCCTCCAACTCAATGTTAGGCGCCAAAACTTCTATACTATTGTAAACTTCCAGTCGATCTATGACATTTGCTTTAGCCTCCTTATCCAGTCGAGCCTTCCGCACTAATCCCTCCTTCGTCCTCTGAGGCTTCATCAGGGCCTTACAATCAATTTCAGGACATGGTCCCTTGCACAGTTCTATCCCACAGGTCAAGTGTAGCTTCGCCCTATCCGGAAATTTGAACGCCGCAAATGTTGTAATTGCGTGTTGATATGTCATCAAATTCTTGAACATAAATTCTGGATCGGATTTAGCGGTTTTCAATTGATCGTTCTCCTCTCTGTTTCTTATTGTGTCGACTGGTTCCAGATCGTTAAAATCTATTTCTGTTCCCTTGTGATGTCGGTGTAGCGATGGTTTGTTGAAGATGGTCTCGTCAATGGGACACCCGGCTTCGTCCAGTAGTTTTTGGGACGCTTCTCCTAAGCCGTCGTGCGCTATGCAGTTCGTTACGCGCAGACCGATTCCGACTGCAAATAGTATTTGAATTAAAGGCCAAAGGCTAAACACACCAAAATTTGTTTCCCTTAATAGAGACTGAAAGTACTCTTATTGGATACTTATATTAAATATACTAATTTGCTAAGGCTGGATTGTAATCACCGTGGATGTCGAAGTCAATATAATCAAACGCGTCATTCTAAGGAGGTTTTTCATTTTTCTTTATAATATAATAGTTACAATGACTTAGTTATAATTATCAAACATATCATACCTGGTAGAGTGCACTGAATCAATAGTCTAGTAGGTTGTCCAACTTCAACGGTAGCTGGTTCTGACCCAGCGATAGTTGGAGCCAGCTCCATCCAAGCGCGTGCCGAATCAAGCAACCACTCTCTCTGTTCCATCGCCACTGGATTATCCCAACCTTGGCGATTACGACCAGTCCTATAAGCAACCAAGTATTATATATTTTTAAGCTATTACATAGCTTTTATCGCGGACTTTGAGCGCGGCGACTGAATCAAGAAATTCCGTAACGAAAATAAAAACCTAACACACCATGACGTAATATAGGTGCGGCCAATACGCGTTAGAGCGGGGCAGAAGGCATACTGCGTCTCACATCGGTCTGGCGTGATCAGTGACGTAGGGCAAGTGCGTTAGAGTGGGACAGAACGCATACTGCGTATTCACATCTCTGACGAGATCGGTGACGTAACGTGTCACTCAAAAAGTGTAACTTGAATTAATATCAAATAAAAAACTTGAATTAATATCAAAGAAAAAAAATACTGCATAAATAAATAATTATAATTGCGTAAGTTGACAAAAAATGCTATGCAATAGCTTTACCCCGGCAGTCCCCGAGTGCCACACGTTTTTTTATTAATCTGTTGAGGTATTTTTTAATGTATATATATTATTCATCTAACACTTTTTTAATTTCATCTGAACGAAAGACAACATATTAGCCAGTTATCACATCTCCCTTACAAATGTAATTTGTTTTAGCTGATATTAAAAATACTTCAATACATTACAGTTTAATGAGGTTCATTCATCATATCTTTTTTACGCTTGGGCAACTACTACTTGAAACTACTACTACTAAGAAAGCCTGCTGCCGAGAGGGCTAAGAGAACAAGACTCAGCTAACACCCACGTACAGGTGCTCTCCACACTACCAGACTCATTCCCTACGATAATGTCTTCAAATTTTTCTTCTGTATTCCCGAGTCATACAAAATCGTATGTATAATTAAACCGATTTTAGATAAATAAGATTTAAGACAATTACCTCGCTTTCTTATCTGGAGCGTTCATCTCCCGTAAATGTGAAGATATGACGTTCTCCAGAGCCGCGCTGTTAATTTTGACTGCACGCCGCTGTAATTTACACCTGTAATTACAATTAATTGTTATTGCATATATTATGTATTTGTTGTAGTTACAGTTGCCCTACATATGGAAATCACATTTTTATACGTTTTATATAAATTAAAACAGTTTTAACGATTTGATGTGTTTTTTCATGAATGTAATGTCAGTAAGTTGTACATTAAAATTTATTTTATCTATCAATGTATGAAGATTGAAGTTGAGCGTTGGCAAGCTTTTGTGATTAAAAAAAAATATTGCAAGTAATTTTTATAATAATAAGGTATCTACAATGTCCTTCACATATAGTAATAATATTAATTAACAATAGATTAAATAAATAGAAAAGAAAAATAAGTTTAATCAGTTTTGGTCCCTGTGGCAGTGCTGCTGCTTTTGCTACTTTACCTTTATTCCTGCTTTTCTATATATTATTGTGACTGTAAAGTTTAGCGCAATAAATTGTATGTTTCCTATTTATCTAGACTCTTTTTTAAATAGCCTATTGTATAAATCTTTAGTAATATAACACTACAAGTTAAAAGGAACCACATTCGACGCATGGTAAATGCCATGAAAAATTAAAATTCTTAAAATTATCTACAATAGCTCATTGGATCCGGAATGACGCCTAGAAAAATGTGCCAAAAGCGTGTATTTTACGTTAGCACATTAAAAATTGCAAAAGTTATAAATAATTAAAGATGAAAAGAAATGGCATTTCGTTTTTTGCCAATATTTCACAAACTATTAATATTTTAGAAATTTAAAAAAAAAGATTCTGAAAGAGGAGTAAATTTCAAAAACTCATAACTCCCGGAACTCTATCTCCATTATTTATAATTGGTCTGCGCGCGTCATTTTTAGATTGCACGCGTGGCGTCAAAAGTTATATTAAAATTTGAAAAAAATGTGGTGAGTTCTGAATACTATGAATAATAATTTATTCCCGTTGGAAATTTTACTTAATGTTAATTTTTCAAAATATAATTTTTTTTTACTACTATGGCGCGATCTTGTTAAGCATGTATGTAAGAAAGGCTCTACGAAGCGAAACATTTTTACGACCATTAATTAAACATTTTTTTCACTTACAATTAAGACGGTAGTTCGATAAAATTTTGTTAGTTAACAATTGTTTAACTTGTTTGCACATAATTTTAAGAGCAGTACCTATCTCTATTTTGTACCATTTTCAACTTGTCGACTAGACTAATATTAGACAAGAGAATTCCCAAACATACCTAACAATAAGATCTTGATCGGTGGACTGTTGCAGCTGTCTATCCATCTGCACCACCAGCTCCACATTATAGTATAGATCCTCTTCGTCATCCGGTTCACTGACTGTCGTATTCAGGGTCGACGTTCTGACACCACAGGCGTTTGAGGGTAGATTAATGGAAACTGTCTTTTGTCTTTGCCCTGAAATTATGACATTTTATTAGATTTGAGAAATATTATAAGAGTGTGTATTGTGCGTGTGTATCTCTGTATATGTATTGTTTCGAAAGGTTGATTAACACCTGCACAGCGTAAAGCCTATGTATCGTAAGTGCTCCCTTTTGAGACCCTCAAGATAAAAGGCAGTCACGTCCCCATATATGTTTATTACTAATACTATAATTGTAGTCTATGTCGTGTTGTGAAATAGCGTTTCGAATAGTTTTTCTCCAAGCAGTTAAAACTGGTTATAGTCGAGGAGGCAGCCGGTTATTGTATTGTGTTTAAATGAGTAATATATCTATATTATTTTTATGACATACTTATGTTATACGAATCAAGCGACAATTGACAATTGTATTGTCAGAATGCTCACCAAAGGTTATCACAACAGTATTGATAGCTAAGAATTATTAGAGCCAGCCCTCTGAAGTATTTCCGAACCAATTCGACTAAGGTTTCTTCAAGAAAAGAAGGTACCAATTCTTAAAAGGCCGGCAACGCGAGCGCCTTGGCATTGAGTGTGTCCATGGGTGGCGGCATCAATTAACATCAATTAATTTTTTGTTCTATTGAAAAACAGGGTTCGTAAAAGGTTTTACATACCTTGTACACGACATTCCCTGGAAAAGTCCTTGCTAAAAACGAGTCCCTTGAACGGCTGCTCCATGGCGACGTGGATACTTATGGAGCTCTTATCACAGCTTGAGGTGACGTCCACCACTCGGTTGGGTACTCCATACCCTTGGTGAAACACCAGGCTCGTTAGCAGAACCGCACGCCACATTTTGGCGCACTCTGAAACAAAAATACTTTTAGAGGGAAGTATTCTTAAAACTATTAATTTTGTTTTTTTCTGGGACAATATTATGTTTCAGGACTTCGTCAGAAGACCTGGAATCACAATCTTTTAAGCCACGGGCTTTTAAGCTGTTCATTTAAATTGGTCTTACATTAAGTAAATGTTTGTTTAAACATAAAATGAAATATAAAATCCGTCGTATTATTACAGTTTATCACAATAATCTTACTTCTTTATTTGATAAATTTTTCAAAAGCAAAAGACTATAATGCCGCATTTGGTTGAATACAGATAGAGATCTCAGGCGAGGCCATATTTAACTGCAAGATATAGGTTTAATTGTGTTACAAAGTGTCTAATCGAACTGGGCTATCTGGGTATTTCCAAGTTTAGCACACTTTACCGTCTCTTATTTGTTATTTTTTTCTTTTGTTTTATTAGCTTCGTATGGTGTCGGAAGTATTCTCAGTTCTTTACGTCATATATTTTTATTATAGTAAGTATTAAGCTGCGGAGCGTTTTGGCTCGGGAGACTAGATGGCTGGAATTAAAGAATAATGCTCAAGGTGATTTTTAAGAGATGGAGCCGGTGGGAGGAGGCCTATACTCTAAAAGAGGTCCTTGAAAAAAATTGTATAAAATTTTAAGTGTGTGTATTTGTAAACATGGATGAATGTTTAAAGGCATAAAAAAGGCTTAGTTATTATGTATTAAGTGATGGATCGTACGATGAAGGAAAACATCGTGAGGAGATGGGCATATCGGAAAAAAGTTACGGTATTAGTCATGCACACATATCATCACCTCCAGTCATGAAACAAACCTGACACTAATGAGTTGTGCGTCATTTAAATATACTTACTTAACTTTATTTCGCACATTTGTCTCTATTGCCACGACATAAAAATTACCATGTTGAAAACTGAAACGACCACTATATAGTCTGTGAAGTTGCAGACACCAAAAACATTGAAGATCTGGTAGCGCACACTATAGTTCTTGATATTTTTTTAGAAAGAGTTCGGAGTTTTCCAGAAAATGAGTTTTTTAAAGCTTAAAAATAAAATCCTCTGCCAGCTTCCTGATCATAGCGTGCTACAAAGATAGATTAGAAAGTACAAAATAATAAGCATTTTCTGAATTAAACTAAACTATGTTTTACAGACGTAGGAAAATCGACGCTTGACGAAAATCTATAAATGTGTTTTTTTTCCATTTCTTATAAATCGCCGGGAACTCTAGGGAAGCTCCGCTGAAAGGAAGCGAAGAGTTCTGGTCTAGGCTTTAACTGTTATTCCTAAATATTTAATAGATCTAATATAAAACGCGGTGTTCCTAAGTCTAGACCCAAAACCTTATTTTTAATTTTTCGATATTAAAATGTAAATATTGCCATCAAGCAGGTGCTCTTCTGGAAAAAAAGCGAAGAGAGATTCCCTACCTCTAGAACAAAAGTCCTGAATCTCTCTTCACAGAATACTGTGAGATACCTAGCAGCGTCGCTAGACCAAGCACATCTTAAAAATTTAATCTGTCGTTTTTTATAAGGACGTTTTAACCCACCAGAACTTATGACTACTTGCTGCTAACTACACTTTTCTCCCTATCCCCAACGCTTATACGCTTCTTACATATTCAGAATTTTATAGTTTTCGCGGTCAAGTCAATTCTTTCGTCTACTATGGGAGCATTTTCCCACACACATCAAAAACAATTTGAATGTTGGACCGTTATACGCAAAGCCCTATGTTTCAATTAGGTGAGTGAAAGTTTTTATCGCGTGCGTCCCGATTCCACTGACCGAAATCTGTAATGACTTTCCAATCCTAGTAGATTATAGTAAGTGACCTTTACCAGGGCATATACTATATTATGGGCTAGGGCCGCATGTTTACAGCCAACAATAAAACAATTTATATCAATATTTCATATGTATTTTCATTGCACTTCATTGTCATGTAAGAAAATACATATCAGCATTTGTGCAGATGGTTTGTTATTTTGGAAACAAAATTATATATTTTTTAATATACTTGGGGACAAACGGGCAGGAGGTTAATTTTTTTATAGCACAGGGGGCACACGGGCAGAAGGCTCACCTAATGTTAATCGCCGCCCATGGTCACTCCATGCCAGAAGGCTCGCGAGTGCGTTGCCGGCCTATCCAACTACTAGTTGATCACTACCTTATTTAATGAAGGCAGCAGATTTTCATGTACCTCTTCTCTAACTCGGAAGAGATTTTATAATATCGTAATTCTGAGTTGATCGGCACATTAAATATTTTTATATGTCCCATACCAAACAAACTTACAACATATCGGCATCTGATAAAGCACCAAATGTTAGATATTTTATTTCCAACACACAAATAAACAGTATATAAAAAAAATAAAATATGTTTGTTATGGAACATAAGATACATGTATCACTTATTCCACGTCATTAAATTTGAATTTGTAGGCATCCCTACTCATCGGCAAAGAAGACAGAGGGTGTAGGCCGAGAGAAAAAGCCGGCGTAAAAAATTCTCGGTACTCTTTTAAAATAGCAAATCATCAAACAACACTCATTTTAAAACAAATATCGCAAATTAATTAGAAGTAGCCTGTCTAGCACTAGTCCCAGGCCCTTTTATCAACTAGATAATCGTTGACTTTATAGTAAGCCTTTTTACACAGCTTTTCTTTAATACATTTCTTAAATTTATTAAAAGGCAGAGATAAAAGAGCCTCTGGGATTTTATTAAAGAAGAGTATCTCTTATATATTTACAATATTCTTAGTTATCTCAAAGTACCTACTGATATACTGCGGTACGTGAGAATAATGCTCTATAAATGGATTTGGTAGAGTTCGGAATGCAGGCTTTTATCTAGCCATCTTCATTCCGATGTCCGTACAGAGACATCACTGGCGGCGGAGCAAAGCATAGCGAGAGTGATTTTAGATACGTGTCGAGATAATGCCAAAGTATATAATGGACTTGTATGCACAATCGTACTTTCTACTTTACATTTTAATTTTTTTTATTTAAATTCTTATATCACTTTAAATAAAGAGCTTATATTTAATAATATGATATTATTCTTAATCTACATAGTAATAATAACATTTAATAATGAAAATTAAAACAAATTTTAAAAGTTTGGTCCCTGTAGCATTGTTAATGCTGGCAGCATTTGCTCGGTCTATTTCTTTATCGTTGAGCGAGGAAAGCACCAGCTCTGGCGTCTGCTGTATCTATCTATATATATATATATTTTTAAATATTTATTTCACGAACAAAATTTACAATGGAGGTCATTTGGGCCTTTGAATACAAATTCGCAAATCGTTCAAGTTCAACCAGGGGCCTAGATCCGGACACAGCGTATTCACATCGCCGTTCGGCGAGAAAATGCTTGAGAAAATGTCATCTATAGGGCTTTTATTTTTATTTTGCATCTGACTTGCGATTCTGTAACTCACTTTTCGAACTCTCACAGCGGTTTTCGCAGCGGCGGTCGCGCTCAAATCAGTCGTGAAGCAGTCATTTTATTATTTGGCATTCTGATAAGGTGGAATGTGTGAGTTCGAAAAGAGAGTTACAGTGCAAGGCTGCACTTAGATTCATTAATTTATATCACGCCTTCTTTAAACAATTACTAACAACTATCCTAATAGTTGTTATGAAACAACTCTTAATTAGGATTAGGATTAATACCTGCAGCTGACTTTTATCGGGTGTCGAGGCAGAATATGAAATTACGTATCACCTCGACGTCCGTCGTTCCACAACTGAGCGTTTTTCAAGGCAGTTATTGCCACGCATTTAAGGCACTATGTGGAACCAGCTACACACTGAATTTCCGAACGAATTCGACTTAGGGTCCTTCAATAAAAGAGCGTACCAATGGTTAAAACATCAGGTGTACATCCTGCCCGTTAGCCCCCTGTTATGTATAAAAATAGCTTTAATTCGATTCCTACGTCAATTCTAAAACATAGTCTTATCGCGGATGTATGATTTTCCTAATTGGATTATTATGATAATGGTGTTATTCTCAGGCACATAACTAACCTTAAAATTACCTACTACAAGTAATCCTTATAATTTTCGCCTCGCGCTCTATCATTATCTTTGCTTCTACGGCTAGTTCATTGGCATCTAATTTTGTAACCAATTTTATCGTATCTCTAGGATTAGAAGATTACAATTGTACGTGTAGGTTACATAACATTAGATTAAGAGAGAATAGCGAAGACTGGAAAATATTGCATCAAGTATGTGGAATAAAAAATCTTACGCTAAATAGTATTGGTATAAGGAATAGGAATATAAAAATTATTGAGATTATATAGAACATTCACCGCATACAAGAGCTATAATAAAGTCAGGGGCTACAATCTTTTTAGGTTTGGCCTCATTTCTGTATCTGTTTCATGATCAGTTGTCAATCTAATAGCCAAATAGGTGATCAGCCTCCTATGCCTGATACACGCCCTCGACTTTCTGGATCTAAAGCAAGTCGGTTTCCTCACGATGTTTTCCTTTACAGCTCGAGCGAATGTTAAATGCGCTCATAGAAAGAAAGTCCATTGTATAGCTGGAGATCGAATCTACGACCTCAGGGGTGAGAGTCTCACGCTGAAGGCACTAGGACACTGCTCTAACAAGGGCTATAAGCCTTCTAAAACTTCGGACAGTCCGCGCAAATAATGTATACGCCATACGGAGAATGGACAACCTCATATATTGTTCCGCGCCTTATTTACCCTCAAATAACGTTGTTTCGTTTCGTATTTTGTTAGTTTATAAGGAATTTAGAATTTGTATTATGGTGTAGCCCTTAGGTTTAAGGTTAAACTCCTTAGTGGCTTTTTGGTGTTTTCTGTATTTAAAGTTTATTTATAATATTAATCAACAGTAAAAAAAAAAAAACAGAAAATACAGATTATATCACGGAACGTAAAACCGAGATGTTTTTTAAAAACTATGTTTCA